AATTGTTTAGTAGTACGAAGCAGATCTCCTCCTAATTCCCAACATAGCAACAGCTCTGCGACATCGTCGCCGAAGTCGCAGTCCCTCGCGCGCCGTCGCTCGCTGAAAGTTGCGAGCCTTCAAGTGCACATCCCAGGGCAGCACTCGTCGCCAGCAGTCCTCGAAAACCCCCTTCCGGGTGGGGGTTCCGTATCGGGATTACAGTCGGCGCCATGTTACGAAAAAACTCAATCCCCGCATTCTGCAGAAGCCTCCACGGCGTATACGATACCGCCAAAAGACATACCAGACGGCGGCGAATGTTCCGCCGCCTTGGCCGCTGACGGCCCCACGACGACTATCACCACGGTCACGCGCGCATCGACCTGCGGCTGCTCTCCGCATTCTAATAGTAGCAGCGACAGCGGCAGTGTTGGCGGCTTCAGCGGCAGCAGTAGCGGCAGCAACGGTTCAGTTTCGTGCGTGTTCCCAGCCGCGTCTCTTCTCTCTCCAGCTACGCCCGCCACGTCAGCTTCTGCCGCGCTTGTATCGCCTCCGACGTGTCATGCTCTTCGCGGCAAATGCCGCGGTAGGACGGTGCGCTCCCGTTGCACAGCTAGCTTACACGGGGCTGGCGGACACTACGCTTCCGCTCAGTCTTCCCCCTCCCCTTCCGCCTCCCCCTCGGGCTGGCGTCCGCCGACCCCCGCTGTCGTGCGCAGCCCCAACGCGGAGGTAATTGCGGAGCGGTCGCGCGATTCCCCCGACATGGACCGCGTGTGGGTGAAGCTGGCGGAGCAGTTAGAGCGCGAGCAGGCGGGCAAGAAAGCACCGCGCGGGTACCGCGCAGGCTCCCCGCCCGCGGAGGGTGAGCGCAAATTGCCAGCGCCCACGGCGCGCATCCTCCGCCGCGCCTTGTCCGCATCCTCCGCGGCTCTCCATAGTGCCCCCTCGCCTGCTGCGCCCCCGCCCGCCCGCCGCTCCGCCACGGTATCCATCCCCTTCCCTTCCCCGGCAGTGTTCCGCCAACATACAGCTGCGCCCGAAGCCAGCGCAGCTGCGCTTGGCGGAAAATCCTCTCCCTGCGCCTCTCCTTGTGACTCCCCCAAGTCCCCGAGCGGCTCAATTGCCCAGCGGCTGAACGGATGGCTCTACGGGCGGCGGCGTTCTCAATTCTGGGAATCTGCGGTTGAGACGAACAGAGCCGTTGAAGACGACCATCGCGGGAGCTGCGAACCCGGAAGTACGGTTACCGAATTCGCAGGCTGTGGGGTGGAGGAATGGCGGGATGTGGAAGGAATTACTTTTCCGCGCGGTGTATGTGGGGACAGCGGCGGTGGCGGAATCGCCAATTGTGACAAAAGTATCAGCAGTCATGGAGGCTTGGAAGCTGACGCGGTTCTAGCGGGCGCTTGTGCCTGTGTGTCTGCCGTGCCAGCTGGCGCAAATTATCATGTGACGACAAGACTGCGGTTTAGTCAGAAAGCAGCACATCGGGATTTGCACAAGCCTCCGCTCTCTCCGGGAAGTAAAGAAGACACTTGCGCCGCTTGTGCTGGTGCGGGGCAAATTTCTCGTTTCTGCGAGACTTCTCTCTGTTCACCTGCGGTTACATCTGGCGAACGCAGCTGCGGTGACGAATCGGGTTACATCATGGCTGACGAAGCTGAGTATCACGAAGGTGGCTGCTCAGTTGTTACACCCAGAATACAAGATTCTTTTGTGGTTAACCACCACGGAAATGACAAGACAGGGACTGTTTTTCACCCAGATTTACGTAAGCCCTGCTCGTTGAGTCCTCCTGGTTCCAATCCTCGATATAAGCTTGTCAGCTGCCTCTGCACTGGCAGGTCACTCTCTGCTACAGTTTTATCAAACAGGCATGGTGAAACATCAAAAGTGGGACTCAAGAAGCATGTGTCCTTCTGCAAGGTTGTTCGTGTCCGTGTGATTTTAGACCCGGAGTAAGTTAGCGAGTCACATATACTGTCTTGCTCTTTCAAAATAATTTTAAAAACACAATAATACCATTGAAATTACTATCCAACAATCACAATGACAAACTTGTGTAGCACCATATTTACATATTTAGAACAACACACGGCACATACGCCAATGATAAATACGAAAAAAAAAACCTAGTGAAGGGAGACACACCCTGTAATAGCAGGTCGAACTTCGTGGAAGGATACGAATCCAAACCCAGAGGATATTTGCGACTTGCGTGAAGTCCGCCATAACTCCGAGTCTTTGGTAGTATACACCGTTGATGAGCACTGAGCGGCACCCCAGCTCAGGTCTGGGTCTGGGAGGTTAACTCTGGCGGGATTCGCGGTAGGGGAGGAGCTTGGGTGAACGGCTTTTGCGGCGTTAGTAGCCAGAATTTGGCTGGCTGTGTCGATGGCGGAACTTCGTGGCGGAATAGGCCGCACGCGGACGAGCGGGTTGAACGACACGCGACGGTCAGGGGATCGTCTGGGTCTTCCGGCGACAGGAGTTAAACAGCTGGTTAGACCAGCAGCTGGCATTGAAACAGATCGGCCATGCTCTGTAAGGCTCTCGGGTATAGCTTGGTGAGGCGATGACACCTCCCAATTGAGATCTCTGATATCCAGCGACAACGATTTGTGACGTCGCATGATGGTCGCATTCGAGCTGAGAACCCTGATCGGCGTGACGCCTCCTGGTCGCCAGCTGGAATCAGGAGAGCTTGTTTCTGCAGTAGATCCGCGATTCTGTATCCTTGAAGGGGTTATGATACCTTCGTTTGGTGTCAGGTCTTCAGGCGGCAAAACAACATGATGTTCCGTTTCAAATTCAGCATCTCCGTGGGGACTTTTAGGAGGTGCCGGCGGCCAGAAACATCCTGTGGCTGACGTGACTTGATGAAGCATCCACTCCTCTGTACGCGGTCGAGACACTTCCCGAGAAAGAACTCTGACGGTTCGTCGCAGCATGATTGAGTTGGCTAGGAAGACGGGAATTTCGAAGTTCGAATGAATCAGGAACGATCGCCAAAGAGAGCACGAAATGCCTTTTTTGGAACTGGTCTACCCACCCATATAGTTCGCGAGCCGTGAGAGGCGGGCCTTCTCGTCGCGGCACTCGCCGAGCGAGTTTCTTGGTCGGTGGTCGCTTCGGTTTGGCTGGGTTTGTGTGGGTCATAATGCTTTACAAGTTGGTTTCTTCATGCGCGGTTGGTTTCTCGCGACGCGAGAAGAGGAACTGACAGAAGATGGTCCGCCACGTGATATGTGTGATCTGTCATCCGAGACAGTTAGTATATTCCTTCTGGTGCCGTACACACACAGCACACCATTGTTGAGAAATCAGAATATCGATGCGTCATGCTTGGGATCCATTCTCTCACCTTTGCGTCTCTGTTGACAAAACATGGTTCGGCGTGAGTGCAGCTTTTTGCCCGTTTTTCAGGTTGCGAGAACGTTCTACTCCCTCTCCCAGAATACATTCAAAACAAAACCCATTTTCTTGCTTGAACACCATCTCAGTGTTTGTGGAGTGACATTCGAGGGGCGGTACAGCTGTGTGCTGACTTTGCAGTAACGTGCTCGGCTAGTTGTACCGCCACCGTGGCTTAGTACGTCACGCGCGCGGCACCATGTAACGAGGTGTAGTTTCGTCCCTTAAAAACCACTTCTCCCACCCACTCTTACGGATTGCGTGGCACCGCTTTTTGCCCCTTTTTCGCCCTGCCTCCCTGGAGATCTTCTGCCACTACCGTTGCAACTGGCAAGGCATGCGAAACCCAGCTGAACCTCGTGCGACAACAGGAAAGTAAGGCGCAGTTACAAATCATCCTGATCAATTCCTTGCGAACTGACACCAAAGCACACACACAAATCGCCCACACTCAACGACTGTCAGTAAACTGACAGTGTCATCCTCCATCCACTATCTTGTGAGACAACAATGATGTAACATTAGTTACAGTACGTGAGGAAAACTGTAATGAATATACATTCAGGCTGCTCCTAGCGAGGAACCACGTCAGTTTGGGTTCGGCCTACATTTCGGCCCGAACCACTTTCCCGAGTCGCCCCGCACCAAACGCGACACTTCCATACCACCCACGTCCCGAGGTCCTCGCCTAGCCCGGGTTTCGACCCTATAAATGCATGTTCCTTTAGTCTGGAATCACATTCTCTTTATAGAAGTCTTCCGCGCACTCTGTCTAGTAAAACTCGTAACAATAGCTGTAAGGATTTACAGAATCATTACTGAGGCACTCGTTATCGGGGTCAACCCGAGGGTCACGCGACGAACCTGTCCTTCCTATTTCGTCGCACCGAACCACTCCCGAGTCGCCTCCGCTCCAATCGCAACCATCACCGAGCCAACCTCGCCCAACCTCTCCGCCTAGCTAGGACTTCCCCTATTTAGTCGTGCCTTTCTCATTGTATCGTCATTCGGTAATCAGTTCATTCTCGTTATTCGATATTCTGTGCACTCTCCAAGTTCATTCATAACAATAACTATCTTCTTCCAAGTCACACCAAATCTCTAGCTATATTTTCTATCCTTCCATATCCATCTGTATGTATTGTCATCCTTCCATATCCATTTGTGTGTATTGTCTGCATAATCTAATGCTCGACTCCTTGTCACCCCCACTCTTTCTCTCTCCGTGACACACATGCAAGCTCCAGATCACTCTCTGCACACACCGTACCACCTTCGCCCTTTTCACACTACTCATCCTTTCTTTCACAACCATTATTGCTGCCTCCTGAGACAATCCCCCATTGCTCCCTCTTACTATATCCTCCTGTTGCCCGAAGTTTGCCAATTGAAACAAATGCCAGAGTGGAGGTAGCAGGCACACTTGAGTCATTGCGTACAACACGAAACTTCACAATCACCAGTTCGGTCCCGTGATCTCTCACAATCACGACCCTAACAGCACGTCACAAGGCACCATCTGACCGTTGTGAAACAAACCGTGGGTTGAGCCGGGGGCATCAGATGCCTGTGCGCTCCATAAATTTCTTCCCAATCAGCAGTTACGGCCCATGGTCTCTCGGATCCACAACCCTGGGAGCCTGCCTCAAAGCAGCATCTGACGCTTCCGAAATGAACTGTGAGAATGGAAGCTCAGGCCTGCCCTGAGCAAGTGCTGACACATTATCTAGGAGGATTCTCCTGGGAACCTTCCCCACGACATACGCCATCTCGTTGCCCTCGCCGTCCAGGAAGGTGTAGTGGGGTATGCCGTCCACCCCAAACTCGTCCAGCTCTGCCGCCCACTTCACGTTGTCTATGTTGAGGAACACGAAATTGACATCGTTTCTGGGAGGCGCGAGGGGAGAGGAGGGGAAGGGAACGGAGGGCAGGGGTGGGGAGGGGAGGGGAGGGGAGGGGAGGGGAGGGGAGGGGAGGGGAGGGGAGGGGAGGGGAGGGGAGGGGAACGGAGGGGAGGGGAAGGGGGGGGGGGGATTGGGGAGGGAAGGTGAGGGGAGGGCGAGAGAAGTGAGGGGAGGGAAGTGGTGGGGGATTTGAGGGAAAGGCCACACGTTGGATTACTCAACAGGCGTGAGGGACTAAAAGGATTCGGAGATTGGGGCCTTGGTGGGTGGAGTGTCAGCCAAGAGGCACGACTCATTGTAGTGCAGTGAAATTCCTTGCTCACCTGAACTGTTGCTGGACCTTAAGTGTGTCTCGGGCAGTATCGTGGTGACACCTGAGTCGACTCAAAAGTCCAGGAGCATGATGATAGTGCAATACAAGGACTGTCCCTCACCTGAACTGCTGCTCGACCTTGACTGTGCCCCAGCAAGTCCCGCGAAGAACACCAAGGAGATGTAATGAGCCTACGTGGCAAGACTGTAGTTTCAAAGATAGAAGGTGGCCTTTGGCTTTTGAGTCGAGTCAAGCTCACCTGAACTGCTGCTCGACCTTGAGTGTGTCCCGGGCAGTCTCGCGACAGACCTGGCAGCAGGCAGCGAAGGCATGGAGCATAGAGGATTTGAGAAACGGGGGAGGGGGAACGGGGTGAGGAGGAGGAGGAGGGCGAGGAGGAGGAGGAAGAGGAAAATGGAGGGGAAAGGGGATTGGGTGGGAGGTGGGGCACAAGGTGAGGAGAGGGGTGGAAAGTAAGGAAAGAGGGGGATAAATGAGGCCATGATGCAATTAGTGTGGATGACGCAACATAGCAAAGGGAGATGAGAGGAACCGGCCAAAGGGAGATAAGGGGATTCAGCATGGATGAAATGAAAGCAATTAGCTTCGGGCGATGGTAGGCAGCACACACAATCGCATCCAGCATGACACAATGAGAGTCAGCACATACAGGAGGGATGAGGACATACCTGACACCAATCAGCGTAGAATTCAACCACGGTTGGCCGCCCGTTGCCCATTGCCTGGGGTGAGGTGATGAGGGGAAGGTAAGACAGCAGGAAAAATGAATGCGGCGTCGGGGAAATGCGCAAAGAGTCGAGGTCTGTACGTTCAAGTTGAATTTCCAACCTCCGTGCAACCCTCCCCTTTAGAATTCCCGTCCCCGTCCCGCCCCTTTCTCCTCTCACCTCCGCGTACTTTCCGTTCCCAATCCGTCCCCCATATCGTCGGTTACTTGTTCCTATGGTAAGCCACAATCCAAATCCGTTCCTCCCTTCTATCTCATCGTATCCAGGCCCACCCGCAATCGCCTAAGTACGTCCCAAGGCTTTGAAGTTTAAGTACCTCATCGAAATTAGCCGATCGTGCGGCCAATGCGGAGAGATCCGTGCCTGCGCCTGCGACCCTCGTCAATACAAACAGACCCACCGCGGCTGATACCGAAGCTAACGCCAAGCCTCGGTAGACCTTCTCCCCAGGGACAAGAGGCTCGGGAGAAACCGCCGAGGCTGGTTCGGGAGCAACGGTCGCAGAGGAGGGTTGGGGGGGATTAGTGGTGGTCTGCTCGGGAGTGGCATCGCTATCAATCGCGGCTCGAACGACACCATTTCGACGGCGAATTCCATGCTGATGCTGCTTCAGGGGTCTAAGCTGAGCAATGGAAGCTTGATTCGAGGTAGTTGTGAGCCGGAGGACTGAGTTGGAGCCAAAACTTAGGTGAGTTGAGTTTGGTCTGGAATGCTTCGACAGCAGAGACGCGTGTAACGGAACGCCGGCGTTATAGTGTCTCGTTGAAGTCGCAGTGACGCATTGTGTACTCGCTAGACGTCTCGTCACAGCACTGCCCGCAGCTAGCGTAGACATGGGGAATTTAACAATCCTTTTCCGCTATGCAGTTCTGTGCTAACTGATTGCACAGCGCCGAACAAGGTTGGCTCGAACAGCGCGAGAAGTACTAGAACGGAATCTATTTCGACAATATTCTCATTGTCTGCTGATCTCTTGAAACTACACCCAATGCTCGTTAGAGTCTCGCAAGGTTGCCTTGTGCTTTGGGCTTGTAAGTGGTTAGGGCATTTCGTGGGGTTCGTAGCATTTCGCATGGGCCAACATGGGCTTATAAATAACACCGAATGTTACAGGTTTGTTTTACCCGAAACAGTGCTGGATTGCCACAGTTGTTTCATAATTGTTATTGTTGTTACCACATTTCGTCTTCAAACCGTATTGGCCCATTACAATATTCAACACATTCCCTCACAGACATCCCCAGTCATCTCCCGGGTTAATCTCAGCAAGCCAACTTATCCAACATGAAACAGCACCAACAAGCACTAACATTACACCAATGTCAGCGACATGTTGACATTGGTGCACTTGGTGAGACACCAAGTGCCAAGAGAGGAGTTGGGCGCATTCACAGACGCACCCACTCCGCCGCGTCTATGAAGCCGTCCATGGCGGCAGGCGCGCCAGCATCGATGAGAGCCTGGCGAGGAGATGGCGCCGTCATCCACGCAGGGAGGACGCGCTCGCGGGGAGGAGCGCGCACGGCATCCGGGGTCTCGGACGGCCTGGGGGTGGCGATCGAGGTCGCGTTGAGATTCAGGGGCGGGCTCGCCCTCTCCATGCGCTCGATGATGATCGGGTTGCGGATCTCGAAGAGGGCGCAAAGCTCGCGGGGGGTGATGCTGGTGGCGCGCGCGTACCCGATTAGCATCTCACATGCGGCGCGCGCATAGCGACGAGCCTCGCGGGACGCGGGGTTGTCATCGTTGTAGACAGCCTCCATGCTCGTAGGCGTTTCCCACGACGCAGCCGAATACGCCGACGCGGGCTCGTCGGCCAAAGGGTCCTCACCCGACTCCACGCACGTCGGCTGCCCGTTGTCGATTGCGACAAATTCGGCGGCCGGCATCGCGCTTGGGCCGAGGCCAAGACGATCGATGAGAATGCTCACCTCATCGATCTCGCCATCGAGATCGATGGCGAGCGGCGCAACACCACGGCCACTTGGGGTGAGGCCCGCGGCGCCCACGTGGGACAGAGAGAGGGCCCACGCGAGAGGGAGGCACTCCGTCCGCCACCAGCACCTCTGAATGGTGCGCGTGCTGATGTTCATCCACGCGTCCAGCAGCCACGCCAGGACGTCGCGGAGATTCGGCTTGTAGCGCGCGAAATTACCCGTGGCGCCGCCATCAACCCATTTCGCGACGACGGCCTCGAGCCAATGCTGCCTGTAGCGGGCCTTCATCATGGCGATGAGGCCCTGGTCCAGCGGCTGAAAAAAGCATGTGGTGTTCGGTGGAAGGAACACCAGCCTGAGGTTGCTCAGCGACCGAGTGCGGAAGCCAAACAAGTCCTCGGTCTCGGCTCCCTCGGTCTTGAGTGTTGAGAGTTGAACTAATGAGAGAACGAGTAGATTAAAGTAGGGCCTAGGCTTAGTAGCCTAGGCCCAAGTAGGATGTCGAGCGGGTTTTGCCTAGGGTGAGTATCGAGTGAGTTGGAAGAGAAATTGGAGAAATGATGGTTTCACTATAGGGTTCGAAGTACATATAGCATAGGAACCAAATAAGGTGCACCACCAACAACGGTTTAAATAACTACACTAACTACAACTACAAGCAGTTATAAAACATGACAAATATATTTCGACACGCCCCCATAATGCTTGTAGGTAGAAATGTAGTTACGCCATGCAAAAGAATAACAAGCAACAGCAGGTACTGCAGGTGGGCTAACATTGAATAGTTACCCCCTCCATCTCCTCACCCTCCTCCTTCCCCTCCCCCACACTGCTGCAGGAGCAGCAGAGAAGGGGGGAAGAGAGGAGAGGTGGAGGGACGGCTGCATGTTGCCTCACACCCGCCACCCCGGTACCACTCCCCCTGCTCCCCCACATCCTCACACCCTCCCCCCCCAGCGGCAGCTGCAGCGGTGGGACTGAAAGAAGGAGGAGGGGAAGGGAGAGAGTTGACCCAACACTCCAACACCCGCCACCCCCATACCCTCCTCCCCACGGCTGCAGGGAGACAAAGGAGGAGGGGGGTGGGCGGGAAGAAAGCCGCAGAGCGGCTAAACGATGTCGGCGCACATGGATCAGGGGCGGCTTCAGGGAGAGCAAAGGCGGAAAGGCCCGTCGCGTGCCACTGCCACGGGGCGCACGACGGGTAGGATAAGAGAAAGGGCCCGATCGTGTGCCTCGGGGCGCACGACGAGCAGGGCACCATCGTGTGCCACGGGGCGCACGATGGGCAGATTAAGGGCACCGTAGCGTGCCACGGGGCGCGCGACGGGTAGAAAAGGCGTCACACGCCAACCGGGGGCGGGACAAGGAAAAATCGTCACGCGCCCTAGGCGCGCGACCGGAAAATCTTAGCAGCGGAAGTGTAGGGCGGGCCCACAGGCCAGGACGTAATTCGCTCTGGTACCATGTTGAGAGTTGAACTAATGAGAGAACGAGTAGATTAAAGTAGGGCCTAGGCTTAGTAGCCTAGGCCCAAGTAGGATGTCGAGCGGGTTTTGCCTAGGGTGAGTATCGAGTGAGTTGGAAGAGAAATTGGAGAAATGATGGTTTCACTATAGGGTTCGAAGTACATATAGCATAGGAACCAAATAAGGTGTACCACCAACAACAGTTTAAATAACTACACTAACTACAACTACAAGCAGTTATAAAACATGACAAATATATTTCGACATTGAGCACGTGGCTCGAGGCGTTGTCGAGGAGGATGACGATGTGACGTTCCTCGGCGAACATTGCCGCGTTCAGTTGCTCCATGAAGTGCGTGAAGAGCTGCGGAGAATATATGGGAACGGACGGAGGGAGAGACGTATACATGCGACAACGCGCTCTCACAAACACATGCAAGCGTAGCATCTAAAAAAAAAACCGAAGTCAACCTGGCGCACGAAGCACTTACAGGGGCGGTCATCCAGCCCTTCGCGTTGTTCCTCCAGTAGCATAGTGCGTCGGGGTCGAAATCAGGGCGGAAATCATGGGGCCTCTTCGACTTCGAGATGACGGGCGGGCGGAATGCATGGCTCCCGTCCGCGTTCACGAGAAGGCCGACGGTGAGTCTCTCCTTAGGAATCTTGCGACCAGCCACACGAGAACGCCCGTATTGTCAGAACATATAGCTTACTTGTTTCTGTAGACTATAGTGGGGTATCCCATAGGGGGTACAACCCAACTAGGGTTTCCTATTTGTACCCACTTCTTTTCATAGTCATTCACTTCTCGTTCGTACTTTCTCATGGAATCAGAGCAGGTCCCTTCCTAGGGCCTGTTCCTAGGGCCCACCGAATCGCGCCCCGAGGCGCGCATTTTTTTTAGCGACCCTCCGAGTCGCCCCTCCCGTCGTGCTCCCGCTTAGGCCCCTCGTCGGCCCCCGCTTAGGCCCCTCGTCGGCCCCCGCTTAGGCCCCTCGTCGGCCCCGCTTAGGCCCCTCGTCGGCCCCGCTTAGGCCCCTCGTCGGCCCCGCTTAGGCCCCTCGTCGGCCCCTGCTTAGGCCCCTCGTCGGCCCCGCGTACCCCTCGTCGGCCCCGTGTAGGCCCCGCGTACCCCTCGTCGGCCCCGCGCAGGCCCCGCGTACCCCTCGTCGGCCCCACGTAGGCCCCGCGTAGGCCCCGCGTACCCCTCGTCGGCCCCGCGTAGGCCCCGCGTACCCCTCGTCGGCCCCGCGTACCCCTCGTCGACCCCGCGTACCCCTCGTCGGCCCCGCGTAGGCCCCGCCCAGGCCCCGTCTCGGCCCCGTGTCGGCCCCGCTAGGCTCCGTCGGCCCCGCTTAGGCCCCTCTTCGGCCCCGCGTCGGCCCCACCTACGCCCTGTCGGCCCCGCGCTGTCCCCGCTTAGGCCCGCCACCGGCCCCTGCTACAGCCCGCCGCGTCGGCCCCGCCTACAGCCCGCCGGCCCGCCTAGGCCCCACTTCGGCCCCTCGTCGGCCCCACTACAGCCCGCCACCGGCCCTGCTACAGCCCGCCGCCGGCCCTGCTACAGCCCGCCACCGGCCCTGCTACAGCCGCCACCGGCCCCTGCTACAGCCCGCCACCGGCCCTGCTACAGCCCGCCACCGGCCCTGCTACAGCCGCCACCGGCCCCTGCTACAGCCCGCCGCCGGCCCTGCTACAGCCCGCCGCCGGCCCTGCTACAGCCCGCCACCGGCCCTGCTACAGCCCACCACCGGCCCTGCTGCAGCCCGCCGTGCTGCACGTGAGCAGCCCCAGCAGCCCGCGCCGCCCGTGAGCCCCTACGCCACCCGAGCCGCGCGAGCCGCCTGAGCCGCCCGAGCCGCCCGAGCCGCCCGAGCCGCCCGAGCCGCCCGAGCCGCCCGAGCTGCCCGAGCCGCCTGAGCCACGCGAACCACCTGAGGAGCCGTGCTGCTGTCCCTGAGCTGTGTTCCTCTGCTGCTGACCTACCCGACTCTTCCACCCCGGTGAGACTTTCAGCTGCTGCCATGGCCACCCCCAATGTTCTTACTTTTGACGCTGAGGGGAGGGCCATTGACTTTGCCGTCTGGATTGAAGACCTGCAGCTGTACTTACTGTGTGATGCGATAGATGAGGTCTCTCTCTTTGACTTTGTCTCTGGCGCTGTCCCTGCCCCGCCTGCTGATGCTGACTCTGCTGCTCGCTCCAAGTGGGCGACCCGCGATGCTGCTGCACGTCTTGCTGTGCGTCGCCACCTCCCTTCCTCTGAGCGTGCCCACTTTAGTCAGTGCAAGACCGCTCAGGCCTTGTACGACGCTGTAGTTGCACGCTACTCCTCCCCTTCCTCCGCTACCCTTAGCCGCCTCATGCTACCGTTTCTCTTCCCTGACCTCGCTTCCTTTCCCACTGTTGCTGACCTAGTTACCCACCTCCGCGCTAGTGACACCCGCTACCGTGCTGCCCTTCCTGCTGAGTTCCGCGCTGCGAACCCTCCTCCCATGTACATCACTCTCTACTTTCTCGTCACCCGTCTCCCTGAGTCCCTTCGTGTCGTTAGGGACCAGTTTCTCTCTGTCTGTCCCACCACTCTCACTGTCGACCTCCTTGAGGAGTCCCTGCTAGCGGCTGAGAAGAGTATTGTCGCTGTAGGGGCCTCTCGGGGTGACCCTCGCACCCCCATCTTTGAGGGGTGTGGTCCTTCCCCCCTGCTGCCCTCTGTCGCCTCTGCCGCTACGGCTGACCTCGCTGGTTTTGAGTTGGTCGGCGCGGCGTCTGCCCCCAGCGGCAGACGCCGCTCTGGCAAGGGCAAGGGGGGCAAGGGGGCGGGTGGAGCTAGAGGGGGCGGTGGAGGAGGCGGTGGGGGTGGAGGGGGGAGTGGGGGTGGCGGTGGGGGTGGTGGCGGGAGTGGAGGTACTAGTGGCGGCGGTGGAGGCGGAGGTGGCGGCGGAGGTGGTAGCGGAGGAGGCGGTGGGAGCGGTGGGAGCGACGGTCCTGGTGGGGGAGGTGGCGGTGGAGACGGGGGTGGCGGTGGAGGCGGGGGTGGCGGCGGAGGCGGGGGTCGGAGTGGCTCGTCCCAGCGGAGCAGCTCTGGGGGTGGTCAGCGCCAGCAGCAGCAGCAGCAACAGCAGCAGCAGCAGCCGCAGCAGCAGCAGCGCTCTCGCACCGTCCCCGGCCCTCAGCAGCTCCGTGAGTGGTACTTGCAGCGTCAGCGCGGTGGTGCGCTTGGTCCCTGCCCCTACGTTCTTCGCACCGGTGACCGTGCGGGGGAGAGGTGTGGAGGCGCCCACACAGCCCGTCGCTGCTTTGGCCGCCTGACCGACGCCTGGCGTCAGCAGTTTCCGGAGGCCGCTGAGATCCCCCGCTGGGGAGAGCTGTCTAGGGCTGGAGTAGCTATTTATGATCTTGACTTTGATGCTATTCTCTCTGCTATGTATGCTGTGACTGGTAGTGATGAGGATGACTGTTACCGGTGTTTCCCGCCCGACCCGGGCATTGGTACTGCCGCGTCAGGTACTAGTGAGGCTGCAGCTCTAGGTGCCAGTGCGTCTGTGCTCTCAGGTGCTGGTGAGTCCGCCCTCTCAGGTACTGTGTCGGCTTCGGCCTCTCACACCTTCACCCTTGACTCTGGAGCGTCTCGCTCCTTCTTTAGGGACCGCACCACTCTCACGCCGCTGAGTCGGCCGGTTGCGGTGTCCCTGGCTGACCCCTCTGGGGGACCTGTCCTGTCTCGCTTCTCCACTGTCCTCCCGTGTCCAGCGGCCCCCTCTGGCACCCTGACTGGTCTCTACCTCCCCTCGTTCTCGACGAACTTGGTGAGTGGTG